GTTACAACGATCGGCAGTCGGCGTCGAAACGAGAAATTTCACGCTGCGTGACAATATTTTAGCGGAGTAGTAAATCGTTCGGGTGCCGGTGGTGGCGAGTGCAAGATTTAATTACCAAATTCTGAATGCAGGCACGCAGCGGGTTCGTGCAATGGACGACCGGCTCTGCCGATCGCCGGAGGGCATGAATCGGGCTTCAATCGTCCTCTGCTCAATCGTACGCTATCTCGATTTCACGGAACAGAGTGGAGCACAGCGACGAACGCGAACGAAACAAAACGCGAGAGGAATGGACACTGTGAGCAGAGACGCCGATCGCAACCCCGCGCGACGCGCACACCGGTCGAACGAGCCTGCATTTCGGTGCCGCTCGATGCCAGGCTTGGCCTCTGTCCTGACGGGCAGGACACGGTGCATGCGTAATTAATGAAACCAATCAAGCAGCGTCCGTGCGTCCGTGGAAATTCGTTAAATTTAATTGGACGCAACTAATCGTCGATAGTCGAAAGAAAGGGTAGCCCGTTGCGCTGGACGCGCAGCGACGAGGGAGAAAACGCGCGCGTGTCCCACGGGAAAGCGCGTCGGATGCGATCGAAATCCAAAGGGATTTGCTGCTGCAATGCAACGAAGAAAGAGGGGAATCTTCCCTTGAATTGGACGAGGACACGTACGTACGTACCTACGTGCGCAACGTACGGACGCGTTTATCGCGCGTTGAAACGAGCATCGAAATGGAAGAAATCCTTTAACGAGCGGTCAAGGAAATTCAGTGTACCGTTGCGGTGCACTGTGAACGGGGTGAGAAGAGGTCAAGTCGCGCGCGGAGGCTGGAATTCGAGGATCGTTAAATGCGACTCTGGCAAAGTGACTGGGAAACGAGTCTTATCGAAGCAGGAAAGACGAGAGAGAAAAACCCACTGTCCGACGCAGATAATTTTCGCATTATATTTGCGCGTATATCGTTATCGTTTCTTTTCGTCGTCGTTCTTCTTGAACAGATGGCTACATTCGACGACCGATGGCGATCTCGTCGAATAAAATCTTTTGCTAAAAAATATGTAAGCTGATTAATTAGCTGTAAAGCCTTTGATCCCATTAAAATAACGCGATCCGTGCGTTGTAAAATGATCGTAAATTTTTGAATTAACGCCGCATTAACGACGCGCGTTTCATCGATCGAGAACGCGGTTACGCGATTCACGCGCGTGTATCGAATAACAACGTTTCACGGTTCGGTCGCGATGCCTCCCAGGAACGACCTGTTCCGCGCAGAGAGTCGACGCAGAGCAGAGCAGAGCGGAGCGAAGCGGAGAGTCGTTCGAAATTCAGTCGACACTGAAATATCGCGTTCCCAACTAAATCTGGCCGAATCTAATTTTACGGGACCCATGTGCATTAGCGGATTAATGCACTCTATTCCTGCCGGACCAAGCGATGAGGTGTATTTGCATGGCATTATACTTGCGCCTTTCCCTCCCCTACCCCGACCCCTTATCCCGGCCTCTTCAATCCCATCTCTAATTATACGTATAACACCCGCCGCGAGTCCTCTTGCGCAGGTGATAATCATATTACCATCCTATCAACGTTATTGCCATTCCTCGTCGTATACCACGATCACACTATTTGAAGTGCTTAGACTAGTGGCGATCGATCAACCTCTAAGAGAGGTTCGAATT